ATAATAATTTATATTTAAAGTAAAAAAAAAAAAAAAAAAATTCCCTTGAAACGGGTTTCTTCTCGTCAAACTAAATAAACACTGGACCCATATCAGACTTTTAAAAGGTTTATGCACCTTCCACGTGGATGTTTTCTATTGCTCGAAAAACTTTAAATCACATTATAGACTAATTTAATTTTTATCAATCGGTTTAAAGTTTACCCAAAAACTAACTTTAGTTTCTTCTAATGTAAAATGCATCTGTATCCCTATTGCTTGGTTGATTCTCTTCTAACTCTTTTACTCTTTTTTCCCCTTTTTCATGGTTGTTACATAACGAAATTTGTTGTCCATTGGTAATGAAACAAAATCTTATTTGTATTACATACCGCAAATTTTGGAATGAGGAGTACCGGAGTATCTTTCCCCTAAGTAATGTTATCAATTTCTGCATTTATTCCTCCAGCCGTGGTAACGGTTTACTTTTACATTTCATCGGATCGACTTAATTATTCTCACATACAACGTTACAGCTACGATGTCACTTGTAACATTACCATTATATCAATTTTTTGTGCCTACTCACTCTTCTAGTAAAGTTACTGTCATTAGCTTTTTATTTAGTCACGATACAATTATCATCCTACTGATATTTCTCCGAACAATGTTTCTGCCGTCATGATCATGTTCCTCTTGATCGTTTGAAAATGGAGGTGATCGTTATCTAATGTTGTTATCGTTTCTGTTATTAATTGAAACCGTTATCTAACCTTCGCTAAATTGTTCGTCCTTTATTGTTCTTACACTTTTTGATCAACTAACATCCGTTACATTTTTTGGTCAATTGACTTCCATTATATCTTTCCATTTACTAATGCCTATTATACTTCCCGTCATGTTACGACTTTTCTCTTTCTATCAATTATCATTTGTTACCCTTTTGTCTATAAAGGGTCGTTACATTCTCTGTCAAGAACCTCCATTTTATTTTCCGTCACTAAATGTCACTTTTATATTTTCTGTCAAAAACTTTGTTACCGTTTTCCGTCGAGCAACATCCATTACAAAGTCAATAAATAAAGTCCGTTTATATTTTCTGTCAACAAACATCCGTCATAGTTTCTGTTAATGTCCGTCATCTTTTCTTCTTTTCATTGAGACTGTAGATTAGATTGATAGTGTCCAGTTGTGTGTAATTATGCATCTCATCACTATGCTCCCAAAAACATTTTTTTTTTTTAATTATTTGGAATCGAAAATACTTCTGCACAAGCATGTTTATTGAAATATTTAACATCAATCTTGCTAATTTTATATATATATACGAAAAATCGTTTTAAAATTCTATATCAAATAATTCTAGGTGTGTTTCCAGGAAATTACTTCGATTATAACTTTGCACTGGCAAAACTCAAAGTAGTTGACGGAGTGGAAGTCAAGGAAGACCCTTCTTCTTCAAGTCTTGCTGACTTCATTTTCTGTATTGAATTAAAAGATATTATGATAATGTTTTTTATGAAATTATAAGAAATGACACTGAAGTTTTAAAATAACTTAAAAAGGGGTAACTTCTTGTTAGATTTAACATTTGGTAAGAGTGAAAATGGTACCATTCTGAAAAATGAAACTCTGTTTGTATAGGTAGAGTTCTGCAAAATCACCTCACTATCACATAAATTGAGTTTAGAAAGATGTGAGAGAGCATGTAACTCGTAATTTGGAAATTAAGTATTAAAAAAAAAAAAAAAAAAAACAGTTTAGTCAAGTCGGCTCAGAAATGCGTGCTGGAATTGGAAATAAAGTTTTTTCTTCTTTTCCCTGTGATAGCAAAATGACCCACCATGTCGCCAAAGGCTTGACATATGAAATGAATAAAGGAGATTAGAATCACACACCTCTTTACACAGACTTGACAAATCAAATGAATATTAAACGCGTTATATGAGTGTGAATGTCCCCACCCTACGTTTGGCGATTTAGCAATTAGTACCCCTGATTTTGGAAACTATCAATATTCTGCCTTTTGTTAATCTTCATTAAGGATTTTTGGCTTTCGATACAGCTACAGGCTTGTAATGACCATATTACCCTTCTCTATAAAAAAAAAATAAAAAAAAATTAACTCAAATATCATCTTTTATCAACTATTCATCTTTGATAACATCCAAACAATAATTAGTTACACATTAATCTTTAATCGCAAAATTAATATTAAATCAACTAAATGCTAAACTAACAACAAACTAATATAAAAAAAAAAAAACCCAGATCATCCATTCAAGGTGATTTTACAGCAAAATCTTGTACAAAATTCATCAATCACCTCCTTGTCTTTTCTAATTCAACAAGAAAACCCATCGTCTCATCCATGTTGATCAAAATTCGTTAATTCAAATCTTTTAGTGCATCCAATTGAAGTGGAATAACAAATTNAGCTAAAACACATTGCGTTATCTCATTGATAATTTGGTACACCAACTTTAATATATTTCATTAACCCAAGTTACTCAACCATCTGCTTATTCAATATTTGATTTTAAGTGCTGTTGTGCAAGAATGTGCAGGCAACTCGGAGTAAGCAATAGCTTAGAGCGAGTGTAGCTTAGAGTGACTTATGAGACGACGATCAGATGGAAGCTAGTTACGATCAAAAGTAATGCAAGCTACTCAGCTGATGTCTTCCAAACCGTGGATGAGGAGAAGATCATGGGATTAACTCTCTTTGCAATCTTGGCATGATCGTCACACCAAAAATCATGGGATCAATTCCCAAAATGCAAGTCATTATCCTGAAAATCACTCTTATAACAAGTATCATCCTAGCAATATTTAAACCTCCTCAAAATCATTGTAAAAGGGTTGGCAATTTTAGAGTTAACAATTACTCTTGTAATCGCTGAACGAAATAGAGAAGCAACAGGAACAAAATAATAATAGTAAAACAAAACAAACAGTAAACAAAAAAATTGTACGCGCGATTTACCCTGGTTCACCCAATATGGGCTACGTCCAGCTGAGTCAATATTATTGAAATATGCCTCACCTCTCTCGTTTACAATGAATGAATTGCTCTCACCTCATAACAAGAGAAAAGTATGTTTATATACTAGGTTTAAGAGATTAAACCTAGTTTTACATGGATTCCTATTCCTAAGCCCAACCCAAAAAAGAATTAATAACTTAAAAGAAATCCTACAGCGGTTATACATGGAAAAGCCCAAAACCGCCTACGGGCTCGGGGCAGCGGGACCCCCGAGTGCGTCTCCGTTACCCATTAATGCTGAAGTAGTCGACAACTCTAACAATCGCAAATACATCAATAAGATAACAAAGGATATAAACTTGAGAGTTTACTTGCTAAACCTCTTTAAAAATCATTTTTTTATCTTTATTTTCAATTCACTTACTGATTATTTATAATTATGCGGCCATTGATTCTGATTCCATCAAAGTCGATTGGATCATTCCGATTACTACGAGATTTCATGTCAATAGAATTATAAAAAGGTCTACATAAAAAGACTATTACAATGTCTCTTAATTTATGTCTCTTTTGTTTGTGGGGGAGTTACGTAAAAAGTGTTTAATTATTTTCTGCCCTACTTATTTGATTTTATATTAAATGCATTTCTATATATATTTATATATCAATCAATGGAGTTGACTGAATAGGTGTGGAAAGGAGCCAAATAAATTATCTTAAGTTCTTGTTGTAGAGAATTATTAATTAATTAAATTGTAGTGGTTGAAATAAGTAATGGCGAGGGACCGACGTGATATACAAGTTGCTACCAGTACTGTACTATATTGAAATCTTAAACAACATAAATATGCTAATCAAAGCGCTGCAGCGATTTATAGTGTTTAGCTAACAAAGTAAAAGGCCAATTAACTAAGAAGCTGCAGAATATATTACACCTGCCACTGATTTGCCAAAGTTTTTAGCAAAGTTTCTCTGAGAAAAAATAATAAAATATATTATAAGAAAATAATACAACGACCGACAGTAGTGCACTGAATTTGTATACCGAATGACGTGATAAAATCTTAACCGTTGATCAATTTTAACTTAATATTAATCAACGGTCATGATTTTGTCACGTCATTCGGTACACAAATTCGGTGTACTACGTTCGGTGACGGTAGCATTACTCTATATTATATACCCTTCACCCTGACTCTTAATTTTTGGGCTTTAGTTGGGCCATCCTCCACATGAGGGAAACCCCAGCCCAACAAGAATTTCATCTCCAGATATGAACACCATGCCTACAGCTCTTCAAGGCCAGGTTCAAAATTGATGGGCAATAAAAGGATGTGTTTTAGCTTGCAAAGTAGGGATTTGGTTGCCGATATGTCTGAGAATCTATATCAAGACTGAAGAAGAGATATTTAACTAAAATCTTTACCATACAAGTTGGTCTCCATATATTGGTTTATATCTAAAGCAATCCTTGTGATTAGACTTATTAACATAAGAAATTAATCACGCACCTCTTTACACAGACTTGACAAATCAAATGAATAAAGAATATTAAACGCGTTATATGAGTGTGAATGTGATTTTCATTCTCTAACATAAGAAATTGATCACGCAAAGACCTGATTGTTAGCATGTTTTAAATTTGAACCTTCATCAGCAAGCTATAACAAACATTAAATGATATATTTTCCCAATTTTTGATGAAAATTTTCAGTTTGTTTTGTGCTTTTCTAACTTTGTCCCTGTCAATACACTCTGAGAGTTCAATGACCAATGAAAAACTGATTAACAAAATCAAGAATTTATGCGCAAGTTTCACATTAGCTTGCAACCTTTTCAAGCATAAAGGAAGTATAGTCCCTCTGTTTATTGCACAAAGAAAGGACAGTCCCTTCGTTTATTACAATACTTCATTTGATGATTAAAGTACAGAAAATCATACTACTCCAAAAGATAAATCTATATCTAGCAACATTTTTTTACAACACTACAAAGCTTATTGCCAAGGTGATCCAAGAAACTACAATACATGTACCTCCATCTTCTGTTGACGAGTAGAGGACCAATGAAACTCCAGAAGCCCATCACAAATCCAAGTGTCATGCTTACATAGAACCAGTTCACTTCATTACCATCTTTTTCTCCTTCGTTTTCAATACCAGGTGTTGGAACAATCTCAGTACAATTCTGATGAAGTGGGGATCCACAAAGTTCATTACCATCAAAACAAGATGCGTCGAAACTCTGAATTTGAGTGCTTAAAGGAATTTTTCCCTTCAAGTTGTTATTGGACAAGTTCAAATGACTCAAGAAAGTCAATTCTGAAATACTTTGTGGGATTTCACCCGACAGCTGATTTGTAGAGAAATCAATGGATTCTAATGATCTCATAACACCGATCTTCTCTGGAATTCTTCCAACAAAAAAGTTGTGCGACAAATTCAAAGACTGCAATGCTTTGAGATTTGTCACTTCCGTTGGAATCTCTCCAGAGAAATTATTGCTAGAAAGATCAATTATCCTTACCAAATTAAGTGTGTTGTCATATTCGGTCCCTTGCCCTTTCAAAGTAAGTTGTTCATCCTCAGCAACCCCTCCTATATAATCAAGAAAATGTAATATATTGTTCCCTGCAGAGTAGTCCACTTTCACCATGGCGCTGAAGTTACTAATACATCTTGGTATAGTTCCGGAGAGATTGTTGTAAGCAATATCCAGAATTTGCAAGTAAGTAATGTGACAAAGTTGTGATGGTAAAGGACCATGAAATTTGTTTGAACGAAGGTTGAGAATCAGCATTGATGGAAATCCTTCTCCCAACCACATTGGAACATGTCCAACGAATTCATTTTCAGCGACATCAAATACTTGCAGCCCTGTACAATTTAAGATTGAGTCTGGAATTGTTCCAGAGAGACTGTTTTTGCGAAGATGCAATGACTCAATGGAAGTTAAAGTTCCAAGGGAGACTGGAAGGTTGCCACTGAATTTATTATTCTCCAAATTCAAGTACACCAAAGAGGGATAATTCATCCAACAATCGGGTAATTCTCCTGACAAAAGATTATCTCTAAGACAGAGAACGGTTATTCTGCGTGACTCATTAACATGACACAAGAATTGAGAAATTGATCCAGACAAGGCATTACCAGAAAGATCCAGTTTATTTATACCAGAAGGCATAGGAGGCAAAGAACCTGAAAAATTATTTGAACTCAAGTCGATTGATGATCCATATGGAGTCTGACCAAAATTTAGAATTTTCACTGAACTTGGAATCTCCCCATGGATTTGGTTGTGAGAAAGATTTAAGAAAGTTAATTGTGAAGCAAATTTCCAAAACCAACTGGGAACGGTGCCTACAATTCCTGTGTTAGATAAATCTAGATCATATAAATTCTTGAGTGAATTAATCCAAAATGGAAATTGAGGCCCTAAATGACAAGATGCCAAACGCAATGTATAAAGTTGAAAAGGAGGAACCCAATCAGAATTCAGTTTCAACACAATTGAGTTCTGAGATATATCAAAACGGGTAAGTCTGGTGAGATTGGAAAAATGACTTGGATAAAGTGTGTCATTCAATTTGTTCCAGGAAAAATCTAAATCTTGCAACGATGAAAGTTGTCCTAAAGATGATGGAACTGGACCATTCAGTTTGTTATACGAAAGATATAAAACTTCCAACGATGAAAGTTGTCCTAAAGAGGATGGAATAGAACCGTTCAGTTCGTTATGTGAAAGATCTAATTTTACAATAGAAGAAAATTCTCCGAAAGATGATGGAATGAGACCATTGAGTTTGTTACCTGAAAGATCAAGAACTTCCAACGATGACAATTCTCCTAAAGATAAAGGAATAGAACCGTTGAATTCATTAGAATAAAGATGTAGATATCTAAGTGATGAAACTTCTCCTAAAGATGATGGAATAAGACCAGAGATGGAGTTCTTACCTAGAGAAAGAAAGTCCAAATTTTCATATTGCCCAAACTGATTGTTCAAATGACCAAAAAGTTGAGTATCCTTCAAAAACAATGACTCTAGCTTATTTGAAATACATCCTGAAAAAATATCTATGATTTCGGATATATCTTGACTCAAATTGACATTTGACAAAGAAATGAACCTCAAATTGCAGAGTCCTCCGAATGATTTTGGAATCGGACCTTCCAAGCTAGTGACGTGAAGTGAAAGGTACTCAAGATGGCTAAATTTATTCAACCAATTGGGTATTGAAGAGTTCAAATAGTTTTTTGATAAATCAAGATATTTAAGAGCACTCAAATTTTGAAGTCCATGAGGGATTGGACCTTCAAGACCGTTTTGACTGAGGTCAAGACACTGCAAATTGGAGAGATTTCCAAACTCGTGAGGAACCCTTCCTTCAAATCCAGTTTGAGAGAGATTAAGATATCTCAAGTTCCTCAAAGAGCCAAGAAATGTTGGAACCTCAAATTCTTGACTAAAGTTATTACCGCCTAAGTCCAAGTAAATTAAATACTTAAAATCAAGCAAAGAAGGACTTATCTTACCAACCAACATCGACTTCGGATCAGCTGCATCGGAAAAAATTGCATTGAAAGGATTCCTGAGGTGAAGTTCCAGGATATGGCCTGTAAAGTTGTCGCAGACAACACCAGCCCACTGGCAACAGTCTCTATCACTGCTAATCCAAGAGGCAAGACGGTTGGAACGATCTTCGAGACCTCGCTTGAACCTTAAAAGTGCTTGTCGCTCAGTTTCAATGCAACCCACATCAGAACTTCCATTGCAGAAGCTAGTTTCAGTGGCAGCTATGGCAAGCAAAAGGACAATGAAAGTTGTAGCTCTCATGGTTGAATTCACTATCATGGATGGATGGATGCACTTCTAAATGGAAATTATACATAAGGAAATGAGGGTGAAACGTTAGATATATAGTGGAACTCTCTGTTATTGCACAGGGTCCCTTTGGTGAGAATTCAAAAATAATTTTTTAACATTTTTGGAAATTCATTTCATACAATATTTAAAAACTGTTTTTTTAATCAAAAATATAAAAAAGAGTTGAAATTTTATTTTATTTCATAATAATTATTAAGATTATAACATTTTGAAAATATTTCAAGTCATTTTAATGAGAAGTATTTTTATAAAATTCTATGTGTTTCCAGGAAATTACTTTGGTTATAACTTTAATGTAACTCCATTATTGCTTTGGGGTCCTATAACTGATAGTGGGTGGCTAAAGGGCTACAGGATTAAAATAAGTGAATTTGGTTTGTTGGTTGGTGATAACTTTTGACTTCTTATGATATAAAGTAACAAGTTTTTCTCAAGAGTTGTTGATGAGTCGAAATCAAGGAAGACTAAAACTAACATGGTAGACCTTTCATCTTCAAGTGTTTCTGTCTTCGTTTTCTGTATTAAAATAATTGGTTATTTTGAACCTTCTAACTGTCTTTCACTTGTTCTAGATGTCTGGTTTCTAAATTAATACAAAATAAATGAATTAGGATCTGTAAATAGTTAGTTTATATTTTGAGTGGTGTTGTAATATTTGGAACCTTGATGAAATATGAAAGTTTGTATTGTGTGGAATGAAGGTTGTAAAGAGGGTAGTGATGAGAAGAAAAAAAAAAGATGGAGATGAATTGACAAAATATCACTAAGTATATAATTATTAAAAATTTGATCAAAATACATAGAAAAAAATAATGTCTGTATCAACTTTTACAATCCTGGCACTGCATTTGAATTAAACTTATAAAGTAGGCCTTGCTCATGCTATTGGTGGCAATATCATTCATTGTTATGAATCTTCCCAAGTGAGTAGACATCCCCCCTCTGCTGACAGAACAAGAACAAGAACAAGAACAACACTTTGTATGTGGGGATTAAAGAATAGTACTACTAGTTTAAATAAAATTTCCATGAGACAGTGCTCAAATTGCTTAAATAAATTAAATACAAGTAACTGAAAATCTTACCAATTTCCTACAAGAACAGACTTAAAAGGAAGACAAAATAACCCCAAATGGATGCTAGTTTTAATGGAATTGATCCTGCATCAACATGAAAGTCAGGACCCCAATCAACATAACAAGCACGAAATTCACTGGAGATCTATGCCCTGAATCTCTTATAGGAAATTCTGTTGGAAGAGTACATTCTTCTCCATTGAAGAACACCTTTGTAGGAAATCCATCACCCCTCTGAATATTTATATTTGGTAAATGTTTCTTGGTGAATGAAATCACAGACTGCTGTTTTCCTGGCACTCTTGGTTCACCTGGTTTAGTACCATTTGTCTCTGCCATCAAGTAATTTAGACCTTCTAACCCCTGGAAGAATAGTGTTTTGTTTACTTGTGGCAACCTTGTCCCATTAAATGAATACACATTTTCATAACCTGCATAAACCTTGTCCATTTTCACTGCTGTGAACCAATCCTCAAATGAGACATCACCCCAATTGAAGAGTGTAAGTCGAGCTGACCATCCATCTTTATAATCAGAATTGATGTGCCAATTAAGACTCACTCCACAGTTATCAGGACATGGCATTGGCTTAGGAACACGCTTATGTTTGAGACTAGCCCAAGCAACAGCTTTGGCAGTCCTATTTTCAAAAGGCACAAGTTGAGCCTCTGAAGGAAGGAGCATAGCTTTAGCCTTGGGGTTGCATTTATCAGTATCTGGACAACCGCAAGCACAAGTTGGGCAAGGAATGATAGATTCATTGTAATAGGCGGAGAATGAAACACAGCACCGAGCTTTTTCTTTCTCAGGCTTTGTTATGTTGCAAATGACTTGATAACTTGCCACTGCAGTAGTAGTAGATTGAAGTCCACTGGGGTCAGGAAATTCAGTTGGCTCAACTCTTATTGGAGGGCCACACTTGTAGTTTGGATTCACAAGACCATTGATTGCCCATTTCATTGGTGGAACTAAAGCAGTTCTGTTATCATTAGGAGGCAACTTATAAACTTGCAACTGAAAAATCGATCTTGACTTGCTCTCATTCATCGTTTTTGGCAAAATACTACCATTTCTACAACAATATGGTAACTTGCCAATTTTCTCATCATCTTTTCGATCAGCGGGCAAATCAGAAATAATAGGTTTCTTCTCACAATTCTGGACATTTGAGAAATCAAAGTCTTTATAAAATTTTCCAGCAGGGCCATAAAGGCAGTCAGCAGCGCCCTTTTTGTGAGTATAAGCTCCCCTCATGGTTGAAATGAACTCACCATTTTGCCATTCCCAGGTCAAGTTCCAATGATCAAGACGGCCCAAAGGGTTCATGTTGTCGATCGTAACTTGAGCAAGATAATTGTTGGAATAGGCCTGAATTACATCATATATCATGGAGAGATCTCCGTTCTGGCGTGGTGCAAATTTGGTGGATTTGGCTGGTGGCGCTTTGTATTTTGGATTCCTTTTACAGCATACATGCATATAGCTCCCTGAGCAATCAAATTTTAGTATTTGCTAAACAATATTTCAATATTATATGCTTTCAAAATGATATATTATAATACATCCAACCCATTAATTATGATTCAGCAGTTCGAATGACGTTATTTGTAATCTTTTTATATTAAAATAAACTTTTTGATATGATGTATAATAAAAATAAAGATTACCTTCTTTAGTCGGACCAGGACAAACATATCCATCATTCATGAGCTTGAGGGTCTTTGGCATTGGGACACCTGGTGGCTTAACTCCGAACTGCGTGCCTGTGATTTCAATCTGAACCGAAATCTGAGTATAATCACCGGCGGTATCGACGGACGTTTTCAAATCCGCCAGTGGGTTCCCCACAAAGGTGGTTCCATTCCCAACAGGCGCAGGAAAATCAGCTCCGTCGATAATGGTGGCTCCGGAAGCCGACACCAAAACCTCTTTTCTATGAAACCCCACGTACATTTTCCACGCTTTAAGCTCCTCAGTACCAGCATTCACAATAGTCGCCATGGCCTTAAACGCCCAAGCTTGTGCGCTTGCATTTTTGAGGTAGGGCAATTCCTTTTCTCGTCCAGTAAAACTGTAGGTCAAGAAGATCCCATTACATTCTTCTTGACCTGGTGGTGGAGCCGGAGCAGGCGGTGAATCACCGTAATCATCTGAACCAGCATCTTGGCCATTATTTACATGGAACAACAAGGCAATATAAAAAAGAAAAATAACAGAACGAGGCAATGGTGGTGGTGGTGATAGTATTTTCTTCAAGCTTGTTATTTTATATGTTCTCATTGTATTAAAGAGTAAGGTTTGAGAGAAAGAGATGATGGTGGTGATTGTAAAGAGACTAGAGATGGAGAACAATTGGAAGTTTATTGGATTTGCAAGCGCCGCGCGAGAACTTTCTCGCGGCGAGGCAGAGAAGGGGAATCTGTGGAAAACCCATGGAAGATTGAGAGATGAAGGTTATAAAAGGGAAGACATAGTTAGAGACTAAGTCAAGCTCAATTCTCTTCCTCTAGTTTTTGCTGCTTCTTCGGAGGAGAGACAAAGAGTTTGTTGTTTTATTTTTGTTCAGAAAAAAAAAAAAAACTATACGTACAAACTTTAATTATATGGAGCTGCATGCTATTTTTTTGGGTTTTAATTTACTATGTGGTTGATAAATTGTCACGGCATTAACTGAATAACTGTTTGAGATGCCATAAACTGGCCTGAAGAGCTATCAAGCTTCCAACAAATTATCGTTAATTAGCAATAAATTAGTGAATTTTAACTTGTGAGATATGGGCATTAGTCGGAAGTTTTATAGTGCTTGTTCTTAAAATTTAAAAAAAAAAAAAAAAAAATATCATATTTTTAAGCTTTTAATATTATAAAATGTTGTTACTAATATGATATTTTATTTTGCAAAATGAACCATTAATGTTTCCATATTACAAAGTTCTAAAAACTATCTCCAGTTCATATTCTAATACATTTGAACGAAGAAAATATAACCCAGAAGTTGTCACGTAGGTTTGACAAAACAAATAAGATTTCTGTAAAATTACCAAATTTGTAATAAATTATTAATGTCATATTACAGTTTGCAATAATAGTTGGATAGATGAAGGACAATTTAGAAGAAAATAACCTCGAAAGATTAATCTGACAATCAAAAAATTTTGAACCACCTTAACACCACTTCTCATATTTATGAGTTACCTTCAAATATTTTACTTACAAGATGTGAACCCTAATATTATTTGAGGTGTAAATAAACTGACCTGACACAGATTTCAAAGCATAATAAAATGGTGAAACTTGATAAATTGATTTTTTAAAATTCTCTAGAAATCTCAGCTTCGAAATATGATAATTGTTAACATATATGATCATATGTTTCCTTCTACCAACCACAAATTACAAATTTGAAATCAACTCAGAACAACAATTGACAAAAGAGACGATCCATGATAGAGGACGATAGGCCAATGAAATTCACTCCATTCTGCAAACTTACTAATCGACGATGGTAAATTCTGGTCCTGGATCTAATTTCTTTTTAATCCCAAACACTATACAATGCTCCAACATCAGTATCGTAAATCTTCAGGAATAATTTTTCACATCTAATCTAAGAAGTCTAGATGAGAAAGATTTTGCCAGAATGATCATAATTTTTGTCATGCATCATCAAACTCAGGCCAAAATCTTATCCTGGCACATCTTCGGTGCGTCTTGCTTTTTGATTGCCCATCATGAGATTTTATCTATACAAAAATTTATCAAATTTTTATGTTCTCCTTTCTATCATTCTGTTAGTTTAATTTTTCTTTTAAGTATGTAACACAAGTAAGGGCGTACATCAAGTTAAGCAACAGTAATCTCCTCCACACTGCTCAGGTCCTCAACAAACTGTGCTTTTGATTCCAAATCAATGAACTGGTTGGACTTACTAGCTAGATGGGAGATGCTAACCCTTCCCTGATGTTTAATGTAGTCGGCCACAGCTGTCATCTCTTCCTGGGAGATGTAAATGTATTTTCCTCTATCATCCATCACGCCAGAAAGCCGCCCTAATCAAACAAAAATCCAACATTAAGTTCCTTGGTAAGCCTTTCAGAGAAGAAGATTCCATAGCAAACTTTAAACTGAATAATAGAATTGCTTTAAATTAACGATGAAAAGATAAACACATTATTAAAATTATGCAATATTATACTTCAACACCAGATAGCTTTGAAACATTGAAGGAAGAAAAAATGGTCTGTAAAGGTGAACGATGCAGCAAAGTATAATCAATTCAAGAAAGCAACTTCAGTACAAAGAGAGCGTGTGGAAGATTACATACCCATGCTTTCCAGCGAAGTAATCCGATTGATACATTCCTGCATCAACCAAAATTTGTATTGCAATATTAGGGCCATGATACTCCAAGACTATAATAAGAAGTAATTACAATTCCATAAGGCATTTAATAATCCATAATTACTTTGACAGACAGATGTATTCATACAGCAAAGTTACGAAAAAGCAGAATAAATAAGCTCATTGGTCAAATAACAAATAAAATTAAATACATCCATTGCAATTAACTATTTAAGAACATAATCACTTACTAAAACCACAGGGATAATAGAAAGAAAGCAAACAGCTTTCGTAAAAATAAAGTAAATAAAATGGCTAAGACATTTACCTGAGTTCGTAACTTAAATTCAGCAGCAAGATCTTCTAAAGGAACACATTTGTGTTTCTGCAAGATCCATCATAAGGGAAAAGAATTAGCACCAGAATAATCAGGTACACCTTTAAGCCTCACTACACCCATTAACATATCTCTATTCTATACATTCTAAAATACTTTCACTTCAAAGGTTCAGATAATAAAAAGCGAATAAATTGACAATGATGTTAACTGCAATTGCAGGCTCTGATAATCACCAATGGGTAAACTAAGTACATATTTCAAAGACCAAAGTCCCAAAAAATAAGTACAGACCAAAAAATTACCTTTATGTAATCAACAAAGTCAGAAAGCAAATCCCGTTTCCCATCTTGCAATTCATTTTCTGTAGTACCTTCAGCATCAATTGAAAATTCCCCTTTCCACTTGTCGAATTCTAATGCAGCTGCTTCCTCCTCCCTGGCTTTCTGAGCCTTGGCTTCTTCTTCCTATATAACCAAAGGCCTGGTTGTTTATCCAGAAGGCCAACCATCTAACCATAGAGAAATCTAAAAATACCATAAAAGAAGAGATCTACCCACCAATGCACGCTCCCGTGCTTCATGCTCCTCATCCTTCCTCCTTCGCATTTCTGCATAGCGGTCTTGCTTTGACTTCCTTGACTCATGTGCAGCTACTTCAGCCTTTACAATGATTATATAAGCACAGTAAACTACCAATACATCAACAAAAATGACAAAGAAGTAACCAAAAAAAAAGGAGGCACACAAAGACCAGATAAATAGGCCAAAGGCATCTCTACTCCAAAAGTCCATATCTTTCTGATACCCAATTGTTTATTTCTTTAATGAAATTTGGCTTGAGAATGAGTCAGTCACTCAAAATATTGTCATTTGAATTAGAACTTCACTATTACATCAAGGAGGAAAGATTTTCTTCAAGAAAACTAAATGTTTATATTCAGAATTTCATCAAATGTTTTAGGTTCAACAGAGATTCATGACAAGACAGCCTTCCTCTGATCCAAATTTTAGGTTTTGTTTTTTCCAATAAGAACATAGCAATTAAGTTAAGACACAATGCCATGAAAATATAAAATATATATATATATTGCACCTGTCGTTGTGCTTCTCGCTCTTGCCGCTTTCTCTCCTTCTTCGTTGATGCTTTAGCCTCATAATTCTCACCCTCCACAGCTTCATCATCACTTCCCTCAACAGTTTCTGTGGTCACATGTGTATTAAAATTATTATATTCAGTAAAATACCAGTTTCCCATATGACATAGGGTGCTTGAGTGAAGAAAAGTACAACAGAGGGGGAACAAAAATGGAGTACACCAGGGACACCATCAAATCAGGATTAGAAACGCATATATGATGTACCAGCATCTTATTTGTGTAAAGTAGCATTAATGGAAAAATGCTATGATACAAAAATTTCCCATTCAATTATTTTAAAATATACATCAAGTTTTCTTATAGTGAAAACAGATGGTTTTATTTATCTGAAAATCAAAGATTAAATGTCCAAAACCAACTCAAGTTATTGGTGACAATGCTTAACTATCCCAAAACTCCTTTAAGAACCAATCACCTTTAACCTCATCCATCCACTCATATCATTTGCAATGTATCATCCAGTCTTTTCCAGCCAAAATACATTTTGGCCAATTCCTAGCTATCTTTTAGTAAACTATACAGTCGAGATTATCCTGGCCTAAGTATCTAAAAACCTTTCAATTCTACAGCATCTCTGAACAAATCCAACTGCAGGCCCAATTTCATAAATATTAATTACATCATCCACAAACACCACCCTCTACTCTAATGGGGCCCAGTCTATGCATTTACGAAATTTCAGCCTCAGTGCATGCAGAAAACAGGAGCATTTAAATTGAACAGCAGAAACTAAATAAAAGTAATACAAAACAAAAAACCAAGGACCTTCTACAGCAGCAGCTCCAGCTGATGACGTGCTAGCACCAGCAGCAGGTCTTCTACGCATCCGACGAGCACCAGTGGCACGTACCACAGTTTCCCTCTGTGGAACCTGTAAGTTATACCACACATTTAGAAACCTAGTCAATGCCCATTCAACAACGTTCTAAAAGAAAAACTCTCACAAAGGAAACAAGAACGGGCTTGTAGTTTCAAGTAAAAAGTACATTCATAACACACACTTGGTATTGCTAACACGGGGTATGTTTACCAAATCCCAATCTTTCCTTCTAAAATCTGTCTGAAACACTTTGCCAAACATGATTCACATCAAAGACCAATCTCGATCTATGTGCTTCGGGAACAGTTTAAATCTTCAAAACGTTAATCATTATCATCTTCCTTTTTAACTCAAGTTCAATTTGGGAAGCAGGAATCCAATAAACTTTGGCAAACATGCGTTCCCCAAAAATTCCAAAATCAAACCTTGTGACAAGAATCCACAGAGCTGACTACTTAACTAATTCTTAGCATTAGTCAACATCTATAATTGGCAATAGAATGAAACAATTCAATCTCCAAATTCTAATTGGCTTTCAAGTAACAAAAGTAGAAGAATCAACAGACCTCCTCTTGATGTTGCTCTTCTCGAGAAACTGAGCGGCGTCTCCATAAAAACAAAGGAATTAAAGCGAGAACAAGCAGAATAGGAATTATCGCAGCTAACAGTTCGTCCATCGCTCAATCTCTTCAGCTGCTGCCACCAATCACATCACAGTAATTTTACAAAATCGAATCAAACAATTTATTATTACTGTTATAGAACAATTTGATTAAGGTAATTTGTGCTATTGATTTTTCTCGGGAAACAAACAGAGGAATTAGGGTTAGCGTCGATGAGAAAATAGGAACATACCTCAGAGTTAAACGGTGACGTGTTGGTGATCTTTAGATGAGAGAATTTGTGCAATTGAATTTGTGTGCAGTGCAAATGCCAGACCAGGATAAAACAGCGTCGTAGATTTCCCTCTTTTAGTAATTTGTTAAATGGGAATACAGAACAAATCATAATAATTATTTTTTATTTATTTTAAACAATCATAACACTTATTAGATTCAGAAAAAGAAAAATAAATAAGTATATGGTGGAGTAAATGACAAGATTAACCCATTATATAACATAACATCCTTATCTGGGACAAGATAATTTTATACCTTGTTCTATGCAACTAGGTGTGACAAATTAGGATATAAATTTTTGTTCGGATTAGAATTTGGTTTTTTATTTTCCCCGTATATACACCTCAACTAATGAGAGAAAGAATAGCACAACAATCCTCATTACAACCTTACTTAAATAGCAATAATCAGATGAAATCGAACTGAGACTGGTGGCTATCCAACTAATATCTCCATTCACTTAATCATCACCAATTCACCTAACTATGAGCTACGGACATATGGATGAATTTGGTATCTGTTAGTGATTCTTTTTATGATTTATTTTCTTTTAGTTTATCTAAATTAAATGGTACAAAAATTTAGAAAAGAAAAAATCTCACTTTTAGTTATTAGTAGGGGTGAGCGGTTCCGGGTACCCTACATTTTCGGGGAACCGAAACCGGAACTGCACAGTGCAGGTTCCCAAAAAAAGAAACAGGAACCGGAATCGCACAGTACAGTTCTTCAATTCAAGGAACAGAAACCTAAAATGCAGGTTCCGGTTCCTTTCCAGGGTACCCTGTAAAAAATAATTACCTCCCTATTAGTTTAAAAATAACAAAAACACTTATAAGTTTACAAATACACCCCTAAAAAATTTTCAATTCATTAATTGTGTCCAATGTAACTCATAACCTGTATCTCTAAGCAACACTTGAATTCAATCAATTATCACAATTACATAAAATTCGTCAATCAAAACCAAAACACAACAATTATTCATCACAATTCAATAAAATAAATTATTAATATTTATTAATTATTAATTAATGTTATATTGGTCAATTGGGTATTTACAATATACCAAATATAATTTAGTAAATTAATATTAGAAAACTAGTAATGTTATAATTAAATAAGTGATTAGTACAATGTAAATTGTAAGTTATAAAATTAAGTGTCTACTACAATGTAAATTGTAATGTTATAATTAATTAAGTAATTACTATTAATTATAATGTAATATATATTAATTAAATTGTTAATCATTTAATTAAGTATTGTATACTGTTTATAATGGAATGTATAATTAATTAAATAATCATACCTAAATTTATAATAAATGTTATAATAATAAAAATTATAATAATTTGATCAAGTATTGTGTAAATTAGTAAATTACTAATATTATAATATAATATCATAATCAATTAAGTAATCATTTAATTATGTAATGTTATATTAATTATATGATCATACTATAATAGTATAATGTTAATATATAATGAAATAAGTAATCATACTATAAATCTTAATTTAATATTTAATTAATTAAATTTTAAATCATTTAATTAATATACTAATGTTATAATGGATGTTATAATTGATTAAGTAATCATATTATAAAATATAAAGTAATGTTATAATTAATTAAATTTTTAATCGTTTAATTAAGTAATGTAATAGTATAGTAAATTACTAATGTTTATAATGTAATGTTATAAATTCATAACTAATTAAGTAATTATGTGACATTTTAACTATATAATGCTATAATAAATAAGTTATAATATAATGTATATAAATAATATTATAATTAATTGAGTAATTATTAACATTAATTAATATTATAATGAAATGTTTATAAGGTAATGTATAATTAATTAAATTTCTTATCATAATTAAGTATTGTGCTAATGTTTATGTAGTAATTAGTAATTACTAATGTTTAAAACTAATATCATAACTCATAATCAATTAAGTAATCATTAATTATGTAATGTTATTAATTATATGATCTACTATAATATTATAATGTAATGTATAATGAATTAAGTAATCATACTATAAATCTATAATTTAATATTATAATTAATTAAATTTCAAATCATTTGATAATATACTAATGTTTATAATGGAATGTTAAATTGATTAAGTAATCATATTATAAATATATAAGGTAATGTATAATTAATTAAATTTTTAATCGTTAATTAGATGTAATAATATAGTAAATTAGTAAATTACTACTGTTTATAATGTAATGTATAAACAAACTAATTAATAATTATGTAATCATTTAACATGTAATGCTATAATTAGTAAGTGATCATGATATATAATGTAATATAATAATATATAATTTAATTGAGTAATTATTAACTATAATGTAATATTTAATTAATGTTTATAATGAAATGTTTATAAGGTAATGTTATATAATTAAATTTTTATCATTTAATTAAGTATATGCTAATGTTTATGTAGTAAATTAGTAATTATAATATTTATAATATAATGACATAATCAATTAGTAATTATTTAATTATGTAATGTTAAATTAATTATATATCATCATAATGTAATGTTATACTGAATTAACTATTAAGTAATATATATAAATTTTTAATGTAATATTTAATTAATTAAATTTTAATCATTTAATTAAGTGTACTAATATTTATAATAAAAATTATAATTGATTAAGTAATTATACATTAAATCTATAACGTAATGCTATAATTAATTAAATTTAATTATAAGTCAATTAATTAACTATTAATAGTTATAACTTATAAGTCAATTAATTAAGTAGTAATCAATTAATGTAATGCTATAATTAATTATACTATAAATCAATTAGTAATGTTATAAAAATTATAATTAATTAGAATCATTTAACTATAATGTAATGTTATAATTGATTAAGTATGATATTAACTAGTAATTAAATTTATTAATGTTTATTAATTTATCATATATAATTATTAATTACTAATTTATTATAGATTATAGAATGATAATTGAAGTAAATAACTAAATATATTATTACCCAATAAATATACTATTTTATTCAAAAATAATTTTTTAATAACATTAAAATTTAAAACACTTAATTGGATCATAATTCCAATTATTCACTTAATTGATCAAAACTTTAATATTAATGTATTATAATTATTAAGCTTTTAATTGGTGTAATTATATGTAATAAATATAATTGTATTCGATATATTTTAATTAGGTTATTCTAAAAATTTAAAAAAATTAACTTTATTTTAAATTTTTTTATATGTAAAATAATAGAACTCCTCAATATTTACATTTCACAAATATTTCATTATAGTCCAGGTTTCAAAATAGGTTCTAAACAGGTTCCAAAACAGGTTCCAAAGCAGATTCAAAATAGGTTCCAAAACAGGTTCCAAAGCGGTTCCAAAACAGGTTCCAAAGCAGATTCCAAATAGGTTCCAAAACAGATTTCAAACAGATTCCAAAACAGGTTCCAAACAGGATACCCTTTTTACAGGTTCCGGTTCTGGTTCCTCCACATGCAAGAATCGGAACCGGAACCGCACAGTAACGGTTCCAAAAAATTGGAACCAGAACCTACCCGCACAATAGCGGTTCCAAAAAATTGGAACCAGAACCTACCCGCACAGTACAGGTTCTGGATAGGTTCCGATTCCAATTCCGGTTCTTACCCCCGGTTCCGATTCTACCCGCTACCCGTGCTCACCCAGTTATTAGTATTTAGATTCTAAGAACTGTAAATAGACTTGTGGAACACTAAATAAATTTCTAATGATCACCTAATTCAGGTGAATTCTAAGTTATGTCTGTGTCAATATCAAATGGTCAGCAATTCCAATTAAAAATCCCACAAGACCACAACAAATTGTTGTCTAATTTTCTCAATTCTGAAGACAATAATCATATTCTGTAATATATGAACATCTGGTCTGGTTCCCCAATCCAAGATCTTTGTTTTGCACTTGATGAACATTTTAAAAGTTCATGGTTTGGTCTAAGGCATCTTCAAAAGTGATTTCACCAATTACACAGATCAATATTTCTTTACCAAAGTTCCATCTCAATATTTTCACTTGGCTTAGTATTTCTGAATCAAGTCACATAAGGAATAAGGTTACAGCCAAGAAGAAAGCGAAGATAGTTAAGTCTTTACCTCCTCAAATCCAACAGTCTTACACAGAAAAACAAAGGAAATGGATAAACACACACCCTCATTATTAACAAAAACTACTGAATGATTTGATTACATGATCATCCCCATCACCCTTTTACCTCAAGTACCCACCACCACCACTCTAATAAAAACTAAAACTCTTTGCTAGTTTATTTGCAAGCTGCTACTACCAATTTAAGCATCGGCAATCTCAGCAGAATCCGCGGCGGCCAAAATCAGCTCTGGGTGAATGCCTCCCACATATGTTCCATCCAATGCATTCGGCTGTCCCAACGCCTTCAATGCCAAGTGAGCTGCCTTCTGCCCTGATATCATCATCGCCCCAAATGTCGGCCCCTACATCGACAAGGACAATATTTAGTGCCATTGTTAAAAGATACAAATTTCACCCATCAGAAATAATGCATTACATACCATTCTGGGAGCTCCATCAATCTCAGCAACTTCCATGCCAGTGACAATCATTCCAGGCACAATCTCCCTGGTCAATCTCACAATAGCATCCTCAGCAGTATTCATGTCGAGGGCCTTCATGCCAGGGACATTGTCGATCATTCCAATACTCTTCAACCTCTTCGCACCTGTGGCACCAAAGGGTCCATCATGCCCACATGAGCTCACCACAACCTTGGCCTCCATCACATTGGGGTCCATGCAAGATTGTGTGTCATGGTTCATGGACACCAGTGCCCAGTTGGTCACCACACCACCGATTCTGTTTTCTTTCACTATCAAGTCCTCGGCCGCCACGGCATTGAAGAGCTTCACATTGGGGCGTGCCAAGAGCTTGCTCATGATGGTGGAGGTGAAAAGAGCAGCGTGTTTGATCACAACATAGTTGTCTTGCTCATCGTAGTCAATGCCCAGCTCATTAAGGAAAAGGTGAGCTGGTTTACGCACCACCTGTTAGAAATACAGGCAATTAATTCAAAGTTCTGGTTAGACAGACAGAAATATTATGCAAATTAAAGGATTCCATTTCTAACTTTCACGCGAGTAATTTTAACTAATTTTGTTCTTATAAAATCTCACTATTAGATCTCTGATTTTGTAAAATAATTTGAAAACATTAAATATAAGTCCAAAATCTTCTTTTGATTCATTCTCTGAGAGAAATGGATTAAAAAGCCCTCTTAGAACTCAAGCAAATACTATTTACCATGGCTGAGAAGAGCTGTCCACCGAGCCACGCGCCACCACCAGGGCTAACAGATTGCTCAATAATAGCGACCTGAATGTTAGGGTTCTTGCTAAGCTCATAGGCACAAGAGAGCCCAGCAGAGCCAGCACCGACCACCACCACATCGGTGTCAGCATATGTGATCATGTCCGTCATATACCTGCAAAAGATAAGAAAAAACGAATCTTTAGCCCACATCAAAACTCAAGTTTCAATTTTTAAGAATGGTAGACGAGAAAAAATGAACCTTGGGGAGTGTGTGATCGGTACCTGCGTGTCATTTCACGGGATACAATGGACTCCTTGATGGGTTCAAACTTGAAGGCGTTCAAATCATAAGAGGGGCTAGAAGATGCAGAAACAGAGAAGTTCCGGCTGGAAGATTTAGTGGGTTGAAGACGAAGAGAGGGTGGTGCTGAGACGGCAGTACCATGGAAGGAGGAATCAAAGAGCTTTGTTGATGCGAGAGATGAAGTCAAGGCGGTTGAGGCCATGGCTGCCATAATCTTACTGCTAAAAAACTGAAACGAAACGAAACGACAAGGCGATCTGAGAACAAAGTCGAGAGCGTTTGTGCTTGTGATGCTGAGAGTGATGAAGGCGGTGAGAGTTTATAGGGGGAAACGAAGGTGGCGAAGAAAATATCTGACGACACGTGCCAACAGATAGGATATGAAAGGCTTAGATTCAGTTGAATTCATGATAAGTTTTAAAATAAAATATAAAAAATTCTTCCTGCATATTCTAATTATTATTTAGAAATATTAAATTGTCAATTATGGTAATTAGTAAATTATAAAGTTCATTTCTGATTTTTGAACTGTCTAACTTATATATTTGCCTTTTCGAGAAACATTATTATTGTTAATAAAATTCAAATTAGAAAATTTATGGGCCATTTAATTTTATAGTAGACACGTGTCAGGAGCTTGCTATCCCAATCGTATCTAGTTAAGGTGCAAGTGGCGTTCATGAAGTAGCGAGAGGTGAGTTGTGCTGAGTGAGTAGTCAGTCATGCAGAGCGAGTTGTGAATTGTGGGTTTGTCATCTTGTGGTTAATTTTTGCTAACTATTTGGGCCGGGCCTGGGCCTGGGCCGGTTCTGGGTCAGCTTTTGTCGTGAAGGGGCTAAAGTGCTTCTTTTGTTGTGTCTATTCAATGACAAGGACTCAAAATTGTTGATATAATATCTTCCTGTTTAATTACATTTTTTCCCTATGGTTTTGTTTGATTCAGTTATAGACAGATCTTTTCCATAACTAGCAGAAACAACACCACGAAGTCTAGTTCCAATGGAATTGAAGTAGTTATTTATATCTAACGAACGACAATACCGAACTCATCAATAGGTAAAAATATTTGCAATCGGTCTTATGATTGATGTGCCAATCCTGTACGTTAACTAGCGTTACGACAATCATAATGTCAAAGACAAAGAACTTCAAACAAACCTTAAAATTTTTACTATTCAAATGTCAACACAAAAAAGATGGATGGCTAGGTAATAAGAAGTGTCCAAAACGTTTTTGGCCTCATATTTTTCACGAGAAAGATAGATAAATTTATGAAGAAAGCAAATAGATATCATAAATAAAGTGAAAGTGAAGTCCAGTACTTTCTAGAAGATACTTTACTTTTTGTGGTTAATAATTTAAATTGTGATATTTAAAATAGACTAAAGTTTTGTTAATTAATTGGATTGATATTTTTATTTGTGGACCTAAGAGTACGACCTACATTTTAATTTGAAATTTAAAAATGAAAAGTATTGTCAGCCAATCTTTTAGAGTTTATATGGCATCATATCATAAATTTGAAGATAAAATTAAATATTAAGACAACTATTTTCAATTTGACCTTATTTAATTTGTCCCCTTATGATTAATGTTACTTCAATTTAGAGTGTTACGTGTAACTAGAGATGAGCAAATCCGGGTACCCGACCCAATCCCTTGGAATCGGAATCAGACTCAAACCTGAGGATTGCTAGGATTTAGGAACGGGAACCTAAACCACACATCCCGGTTCCAGGTCTTGGGTACCCGATATTGTTCACGTAAAATTATAAGACACCCCTCCTATTCACAAAAATAACAAATATATCTTATAAAAATTATACTACACCTTTAACTATTTACAAAAATTACAAATACACCTTGAGTACCCGTCGGTTCCACCTAGGGTACCCGAACCTTAGTTCCTAATCCGGTTCCTAAAGTGGTGAAACCGGACCCAAACCTGCTCAATGTTGGTTCCACCTAATTTGGAACCAAATTAATGTCTCACTAACGACATAGAATTTTTATTATTTTGGAATCCTTAGAAAATTCTTGTTATTTGGTCTGTATATGGATTACTTATTCTTATTTCTAAATTTACGAATTAATTAAGAAGCAAATTAAAGCAAATATTATACGAGACGAAGGTAGAACTTTGGATTGTAGTCAATTTAGGGCTTTGGATTGTCCCTCATATAATATAATTGATTTATGATGTTACAAATAATATTTCTTGCAATTTGCAAAAGTAAGGCCAATAATATTCACAAATGACAATATAAAATATCTAGAAAATGCACTTTTATGGACCAAACTTTTTATTATAAGGTAGGTCCCTTGATTGCAAACAAATTTTAAAAAGCATTGAAGAGGATTGAAAGATATGTAATTCGAATTTGGACAAATACATTCCTTGTTTTGGTCACAATATTTATTAACTTCTAAATATCATAATGTAAATAAGATATGAACAGAGATAATATGAAATTTATAATAAAAATTAGATATTTTGCGCAGCCCATTTCTAACTTTCTTCAATTATTATAAATTAAATTATATCAATTTTTTGAAATACTATTTTTTTCAAACTTATTTGATGATATGCACTTCTTAGACTATAAAATTAATTTATTAAGTAATATTTTTTATTTGTTAACTAAACGTAATATTATGTATCCCAAATTTGTATGTAATGCTTATTTTAATTATAAAATAAGGGAAGTGATCTACAGCCCCAACCTAATTGATCTTCACCTTCCACTTTTAAATTTATTTTTTCTTGTAAAAAATTTAACCTTACTTTTAATTACTAGAAATAACATTATAAATTCTATTTACAATCATGTTTCATTTTATATTTTTGTTTTAACTCTTAACATTTAATCTTACATAAAGCCTGATCTTAAATTCTCATAATCAATGAAACCTTTTGTTTTATTTTAAATAATTGTTTGTTTGATGAAAATATAATACTAAAACTATGGAAAACATAACAGAATGAATCTAAATCTGAAAAAGGAGAAAATTGGGGGGAAAATGTGTGAAAAAAAACCTAATATAAATGACATAGTAATACATGTAATATGAATTTTATAAGAGGTAACAGAAGCACTTACAAAGACTATTGAAATAATTTATTAAAAAAAAAAATTCAAATATTCTTTTATAAGCCCATATATTCTACGACAGGTTCATATATAAGACCCTGATACCCCGAATGGGCCAGGCCTAGCAAGAGAGTTATATGGGCCTGAGGGCCCAGTATCATTTTTTGTTTTGTTTTAATAACAAGAGCGTATGCTGATAAAGAAGCCATGTACATATACTAATTACAATACAAGTATACATACTTAATTCTTCACAGTAATTGTAGCATGAGTGATATTCTCCATGAAATTTCTATGATTTTGCAATTCAATACAACCAATAAAATAAAGAAGAAAAAATGTATGAAGGCTCAGATTTCATGCTGAAATTTGTTTAAAATGTTTAACCACCAACATTAGAAACATGTAAAACTGTTCAATCTTAAGTACTTCTCCGATTGAAATAAATACCATTATGTGGATTCAAATTCTTATTTATTATGATAAATAAGAACTATATATTATTTTGTTGAGGTATTGGAGTAAATTAAAATGATATTGTTGTCAAGTCAAGCTTATGATGAAAATCTGAACAGAACACAAAAAGACCACACTCTGTTACCAGTTTTATTTCAGTAAAGATTCACAGTTCAATTACACTAATATTAACATAACCATAACTATCAGTTAACATATAGTTGGTAATTTCTGTGTAGCCTGACTGAGAAGTTCAGAAGCCATAGCCAAACTCCAAAGCGCCATCCAGAAATTAATATTACTAGTTATCAGAGTAAGAGATCGATGACCCCATTTTTTCCATTTTGCTTGTTAGCCTATGATTTATTGATTCCTTCATTCATTCGCTTGTCGAGTATCTTGTGTTCCAATACTTCTCAATCTCCTCAGCCGTTCTTCCAGGGATTCTTCCAGCAATTAGAGACCATCTGGTAGAAACATATTGCATGAAATATCGATCTCATATGTTTATAAAAGAAATGAATTATTAGAGAACATGAATAATAAATAATGCATACCTTTCTCCTACTAAATTGAACATCCTTATAATTAGTGTTTCTTCATCATCTGAGAACTGAAGCTCAGATTCTTGACTGTTGTTGTCTGCTGCTGCAACAAATATCAGAAGCCAGAAACTTTTAGCAAATAAATGAACCACTTATGTTCTTCAAAAATGCAATAAACAGTAATAAGTTATAAATAAATTCAAATAGGGTAGGCTTGTTAATGATTATAATATCATAAGTTTTCGGAAATATTTAGACTATGGAAAGCTGAAATTTGTAACATTCTGCTGACCATATTAAACAACAAACAGTGAAACAATAATGATATGATGAAAAACAAAACAAAGAAGAGAAGCATACTACTAGAGTCCACAGAAGCATCATCAGAAGAAGAGTGTTCCATGTCACTCATATTCTGAACAAGGAAGAGTAGAGAGAGAGACTTAAAACAACTTCACCTGGTCAAGTTAGAAGAAACTATGGGGAAATTGCTGGTGAACTGGTGTTATTTATATACAATTTTATGCGTATGTGAAAGATGACAATGAGAAAGACAAATATATTCCTCGAAATGTGACTCCACTTCTGGGAAGAATGGTAGGTGGGAAAGAAAAGAATGTTTGTAGAACGTTAGTTGAGAAGGATAAGTTAATAATGAATTGGTAACTTTTTTAGGTGAACAATAGAAAAATTTAACAGCCCTCCATTTAGTCCAAAAGGGTTCAGGCAAATTCAAAGATAATGCCCATCAAATGTTTGGAGAATCTCAAATATAATCCTTCTTATGTGGATGATTTTTACGCATCAACGTAAATGCTAAGAGAATTAGCCCATTTAACTCATTTCCTCGATAGACGAGTAATGGAATGGGGTTGGTATCGCGAGTTTTTATGTAGTGGAGGGTATAAAATATGTAGGGGAGGTCACATTTCCTTTTCTCTTATTATATTTATTTTATATATTAAACTTTTTCTTACTTATTACGGATTTTTTTATTCCCGTCCAGTAAGAAGTTTTATAACATGGGCTAGTTTTGTTGCATGCTCCTACAGACTGAAAATAGAATTTATGCCTTTTTTTTTTTTTTTTTTTTTTTCAATTATTCGAGTAAGCTTATGCACATCCCAACTAATCTTTTGGAAACTTAAAATTATTATTCAAGTAAGAACTTCAATGACTACCTTTATTAACATCTAAGAAAAGACTCAAATTTAAGACCTCTTAAGTTTAAGCAGTATTTTTCTTCTTTTCTATTTACTTGGATCTCTCTTGTTTCCTCAATTTTGTCTGAATCCTTATATTCTTTCAAAGAAGAGGAAGGAAAATGATCTCATCAGTGGATACCCCTTGTTCATGATACAATTACCATTAGTTCTTTCATTTGAGTAAAAGCTATAGTTTCTTTTCCATGGAAATATAAACTTTCTGACACATAATACTTTATTAGACAAAATGGAAGTTTGATCTTCATCTACCATATTGTCTCCACAACTTGCAACAAAAACACTGTTTAAACTACAAAGCACAACCTCAGTTACAAGATAGAGTCAAAAATGAGGAGCTGAAGTAGAACAACTGGGGCCTTACAGGATGTCATGTGAGGGGGGATCAAGATTCTTCAACTAGATCGCGGAAAAATAATATTCCCCAGATTTTGCAGTACTGACTTTGTGTTACATCTCTGTTGTTTCTGAAACTGGGGACCCTCGTGTGGAACAGGAACATGCGCAAAAAGTAGACAGTGAAACAACTGATAACCTATAAAATATTGCATAGATGACACACATTTGTTTCATTTAAATGACTCCATGTCATCAGCAATCCACAATGCCAACAAAAGTTGGCAACCTGCTTAAGTATTATTTTGCCTTAGTTAGAGTTAAGCATGACAAAAGTGGGCAATTGAAAAAATAGGAGGTCAAAGTTAGCCATCTCCTTTAAACTTTACCTAAATGGCTCTAGCCATTTGAAAAGAGCAAGATAGATTCTATTCGCTAATCCAAAAGATGAAAAGCATGACCAAATAGGGTGTTAATACATTTAATTTCGATTTCTTGTTTGTAATTGTATTTTGTTTAAACTACCAAAAGGTTGTCACGCACACAATTAGTTGGTTGCCAGGCAGAAGGATTGATCTATTTTTTCTTGCATATGAACGAATATAGACCACAGAAACCAAAATCCTTTCAAAATACGGATCAACTGGCCATTATTTCTCTCCTTTGATGTTTATGCCGCTAATAACTTATTTCAAGTTATTGATCTTCCGTACAAAGGCAATACTGCAACATACAATCTCACAGTTGATGGTACCCAATGAAGTTAAGAAACTATCATTACACATTCGTTATAGAGAGTTTTGTAAGTTCATCCGAGACAAATGTCCAAGAAAAGTTATAAAACACTCCTACAATAGGATCCAAAGAAATGGATGGGATTTATTTTAAGTTTTGACAGTTGAACAAGGTCATCTTCTTAAACAAAGTATATTGAATTCCAACCGTAGAAACCTTGTAGCCAGATATCACTGGCATGTTTTTATTAGTCAGCAACTACAGGTTCCTTCAGAAGCGGCTTCATAAACAAGCAAAAAATTTGGCCTGATTGTTTTCAAGCACTTCTCCAAAAAAATCACATATCGAGTGTAAGGGGTTAGGGGTGTACAGTTTAAATTTCGATAACTAGTTGAAGGGGAAAGCAACTACATAGCATTCCATTATCATTCCACAATACAGAATCCAGAAACTAACTAGAAAACACCAGTACCACGAAATGCATACATCATATCAAACGAACTGGGAAATGACCATATGATATAATTGCACCAACATATAAGTAGTTTTTTGATAGAATGTTCTGCACTGACATTAGGAGCATGCAGTGTGCAGACAGTTCAGTTGCTGTGGCTTAAAAACCATGCATTTTGATGTGTCCTTCTTCACAATGCCAGCCTGAAGAAGAAGAAAAAATATAGATCAAAATACAATTCAGGCAACAGGCAAAGAAAGAAAGAAAATCAAAAGATGGAGAAATCAATGTACCTGAACAAGGAGGGGACAGTTCTTCCGCTGGTCACCTTGGAGTTGAATAACCTGTACATGCACAGCAAATTGATAAGCCAACAAAAAAAATGAAATAAATAGTTGATTAAGCTAGGTCGATCAAAGAGATGTACCTGTCCTAATTCAGGGTCCTGGACAACTGTACCATTGCAGCAGAACTCCTTCTTGAGGTCCTTGAGGATCTTGTTGTAGCTGAATTTTTCTTCAACCCTTGGAGGTTGTCAGGCTTTTCCTACCATTCCTTTGCTGAATACGAATATGCACATACTCCTTTGTCCCAGCACCCGAGTCCTCAGCATTTGCATCAGCAAACGGATCTATCACCCAGACAAACAGATGGTTAGGCTTTCCAATAGAGCAATAAGCTTGGAAGATGTAAATAATAGAAAATGAAAGTAACTGAAAAAGAATAACCATGATGAGGATGTGAAATTTGTTGAACCAGATCGATTATGACTCCTAAAGTTGTGCAAGTATAACGAAAATTTATTCACAAAAAAGATGAGGGTTGACATCAGAAAATATCTCAAAAATTACAAGTAAAAAAGCCGTTCGCAATTTACATCTTTACAACTATAAAACTAGGTTTCTATACAGAAAAACGGCAAGGCTGTTAAATTAAGATTCTACATTGGATTGTAAAGAAGCTCTTTGGTATTGAATTAAAAAGAAATTTACGAATTTGCAGGATGACACATACGATGTAATAGTATAAGAGTTAAATGAAAATTAGTATAGAACAAGCTCACAACACAATAATGATAACCAAGACCAATATTCATAATACAATTTAGCACATAATTTTCACCGTATAAACTTGGAATTGTAACTGAGTAAAAATACAGCACCGCAGAGTTTCATGTTTGTAGGCACATACGAAAGCATACGGAACTCTTGCGATACTTAATTTGCTATCACTACCCTAATTTAAGATAATACTACAATCCAAAACCTACCATGCAAGCCTCTCCTATAATCCTATTTCATATTATGTAGGGCAGTTCATAATCCACCATGATCTCGACTCAGCTATAAACAAGCGTGCTTCTCATGCTAGAAAGCAACAATTTCAAAGTACAAATACGAAGCAGTTTAAAAATTGCAACTAAAGACGTCCAGTGTGATATAATCTATAAAGAAGCTACCAAAGGTAGTAGGAATCTGGTTATCGAGATCAGACATGAACCTTGGCTGATGAAAGGGGCCTAACAACCAGAACTCAGACCTATATAACAAAGTCAACACATCAGAAATTGTTACATAATCATCAATTACACACAAAATTAAAGCCTCAATAAAACCAAACTAAAGAATTAAAGAATCAAAGTAACCCGAACCATAATTAAACCATAAATATTGTTAATTTTCGACATAAAAAAAATAAAAAATAAATCATTCAACAAGAAACCCCCAAATTTTCACACGAAAGAAAAATTAAAGAACGAAAAGAGATCTTTGCAGCAGAAACTATTAGGCTTGTTGATACCGATCCGAATATTAGGGTTCGAGATTCGCGAGAGTCGATCGATGAGATCAAAAGAACCCTAAACCGGAAAGTCTAAGCTAGTGTTTGGTGACAGAGAAAAAATATAAGAAAGTGATCTAGAATTGGAATTATAGGAAAACGAAATTCGCAGGTTAGGTAAGCTAACACATGTTGGATACTCGCGAGAGTACTATTTAACCGTTTACGCTACCGTTAACTAAAACGTGGAAAATAGTCAGGTGGGAGGTGTAGAGCGAGTGTGTTTTATGCCGAGAGGAGAGAGCGTGAGTAAGGGTAATTGATAGAAGGCTATAATTGTCAATTCAATGTTGATTGACAGATATCTTAAAGAAAACAGTGTACCTTTTCGTGTCAGAGAGTTTTGCCAGGGAAAATACAGAATATCAGGCTTTACAATCAAACGGCGTCGTCTCATCTAATTAAAAACTATTGGACTGTTGCATAGCCCAAATAGTGGCCTGATACGGCCCAGTCTTAGACTTCCAATTTCACTCTCACGAAATCAAAAATGCCTTTCTTATAAAAAAAGATTATGATAAGTTTGTAGAAGATTTCTAAATAAAAAAACTATAGTTTTTTATTAACTAAAATCATCCAAATTATATGTATATTATATATATAGATTATTTAATATAATATTGTAATTTGATTTAAATAATTGGGCATAGAAAGATGTCTATGTACAACTTTGCCTGCTGAATTAGTCTCTAATTTCAACAATATAGGAGAAGTATATCTTATGATATTGAGGACTGTTTGGATAATGAAATACAATGTCACCACAGGGTTTCAACTCATTTCTTCGTTGCCACAATGTCACAACAGGGTAACTTCAGTCATCATCTAGCTAACCGAAATTGCGGGCTGTTTGGTAATTGAATACAATGCAAACAATTTGATGGCAGACTTCAGGTGATGCATATTTTCCCAGCAATTTCCATAGCAAATCCCTAGCAGCCATAAAGCACTTCCATAAACAAAAAAAACCCTTATGTGCCAGCAAATCGCATGAAAATTACGTGTGACCTTCATCCACAACCACCAAATACTTGCTCTGAACACTTAATCTTACACGTATAAGCCATGCAAACACCAAACTCTCCTATAAATACTCCATCTTCACAACTCCAACTCTCACCATTCAAACACAAATACAACACATATCCCCGACAGCAATGGCAAAGCTCGTACTCCTCCTTTGCCTTCGCATTCCTCATCCTGGCGGCCAATGCCTCCATCTACCGCGCTACTGTGGAAGTTGAAGGAGAAAATTGAGCAGTGGGCAGAGTTGCCAAAGCAGTTCGAGGAGCAGCAAAAATTCAAGCACTGCCAAATGTACGTGCAACAGGAGGTCCAGAAGAGCCAAGACGGACACTCGCTCACCGCACGCATCAACCAGCGACAACAATGCTTCAAACAATGCTGCCAGAGTTGCAGGAAGTAGACAAAAGTGCCGGTGCCAGAACCTAGAGCAAATGGTGAAGCGCCAGCAGCAACAGGGGCAGTTCAGAGGTGAGAAGCTTCAGGAACTTTATGAGACAGCCAGTGAATTGCCTCGCATGTGCAACATTTCACCCAGTCAGGGGTGTCAGTTCAGTTACCATACTGGTCTTATTAGATCATCATCATCATCGCCAGCATATGGAGATGTACATCGTGATAGTGTTGCTAGTAGTAGAAATAAATAGTTCACTGCTTTAGCTTTTTAGCTGGAGATTAGAGGTGAATAGGTTGTATACTAATATCAAGCATCATCGTGTGTGTCGTTGTTAGTGTGTGGCTAGACTTGAGGAAAATGTAATCCGAAATTTTGTTCTTTTGCTTTTCCAATAAAAGTGCTAGCTTATCTTCTTATATATCAAGAGGCTGTTCCCGTGTTTCTTATTAATTTTACCCTACTTTCCTAATATGATTCTAGCTTCATATTTATGATCCATACAGAATTTAAGATGCATCATTATAATATCTCCTTAACGAAAAAGATATTAAAGGAACAGCAGTCACAAAAGGTAGCTGTTTGAATGGGAAGATGTGTTAGAGTGGTCGGGTCGCTGCATTTATGCTGTCAGGGAATATATGGATATAAAAACCGCTATTGAATGCTAGAAATTAATAATATACATACAGAATCTACACTAAAGATCATTATATTTTGTTATGCCTGAAAAGTAGGACTCACGTCAAGCCTTGTCAGCATAGGCGGTTAGAGGTTAGGTACGTTCTGTAACCGTTCAGATGCAGCCACGTCGCATGATGACGTGAGCAGCATGCTCCTGCCAGCATAGTGGGTATGCGTCAGAATGGCGAAAAGCTTGAATCGTTCCATGTGTCTAAACCCTACACAAGTCGAGGAAATCACTCAATATGTGAGCAACGGGACATAAAGAAGGATTTCTATAGCAATCTGACCCACTCTCAGATTCAATAATCATTACCTTAATTCATCCCACTATAAATAGGGGACTCATCTCCCATTTGTGGGATTGGCTAATTTCACTCATAATCGATTCTCTCTCTCTCTCTCTCTCTCTCTCTTCACTTATACTCTCAACACTATAATCAACTCGCTAAGTCAGTTCAGTATTTCTACATGCGATTAGTTGATACTGTAATATATACAATATCAGTGGACGTAGAATTCGCTTATTTAAGCATCCAAACCACTTTAAATATTGTCTTCATCTGTTATTAACCATATAACTCATATAAACGTGTATTTTTTGGTCCGTTCAGTATTTTTCACGTGCGATTAATTAGTGTCAAAATCAAGCATCAAATCTTGTGAATACAATATCACAATTGGGCTTCAGGCAAAATTATTTCACTTGTAAATTTCTATAGGTTCTTTTTATTCGAATATATATATTATCAATCAGATTGCAAAAGCGATTTGGTTGAATAAAACTAGGAAAGCGTGGCCTCTTATGATTTTTCAAAACACACATGAATAATTATTAAACACAAATGCACATGAGGCTTCATAAGGTTTCGCATGTAAGCTAGCCACGTGAAGACGACATGGTTAGGTTTTGCTGGGGTGGCTCTGCATGGTTCGGTGGTCGGCTTTGTACTTACAGGTGGAAATGTCGTGCAAAGGCAGCAACAAACAAAAATTAGGTCTTTGTTTGGTTGTCCAATAGCTTTTGTGTGTCATCTTCGAAATGCAGTTAACCAGGTGGGTTGCGGTGTCGAATTGCTGCATGCACGCACCAAGTGTTAGGCGGTGGGCCGGTGATGCAATAGCCATAAACTGATTTTTTGGCTCTTCGGGATCCTTTTGGAATTATTTACAGAGGAACTCTCGTGATCGATCGGCCTTAACTCAGAGAGAAAAGAGTCCTTCAAATTTTAAAATTATGATATAACAATATCAGATATCGCATCAGACTAATCCCAGCTAATATGTTTATAAGCAGGTAAAGTGTATCATACAGCAGTATTAGTCAAAATTTTATTTATTCCACCTCAATCAGAAGATGATCTTGTGACAACAATGAAAGGGATGAAACATTTTAAAGGAAAAATAACTAATTAAGATGCAATATAATTTACAGGTCTTATAAAAAAATTGATCTAGAGGTTTTATAAGTATTGTCCTAAAATTATGTGTTTATTTTTATTGGAATGTATTTAATATCAAAACCTTATTGATGAAGGGAAAAAATCCGATTAAGAAACAATCTTAATCTCCAAAAAGAGAAAAGTTTATATGCATATAAAAGATATATGAAGGACACTGCCGATCGGTAAGAACTTAATCCACACGTAGTATAGCACTTTGAAATAAAAATTTTGGAATACTAATATGTAATATTGTAATTATATAAATTTTCCAATTATAACATCTCTTTATCATTCTTTTATAAGCCTCGGGCGGAACAAGGGAATGAGATTCAAGAAAAGGAAAAAATTATAGAACAAAATCAAAATACTCCTGTAATATGTACATTCGGCCAACGATATAGTGTCATATCATTACGTGTGACATATATTCGCTTGTAGTTAGTTGTACCCACCACAAAATATGAAAGATTTACTAAAAAAATATAACATCTAGCTAAGGAGACTTGATAAATCTTACCCTTCAAAGAATTATCAATTATAAAATTAACATCATAAAATGATACTAAACCAAAATCCGTGATTCTATGATACATGCTGAAACAGAAAAAATGAAAATGCTGTTTTTGTAATTTTTCAAAACTCATGTTATTGTTTTTGTAATTCGGCTCTTTTTATCTTGCACTTTCTCTAAGTCTATTTGGAGCCGAATCCTTGCCATTAGCTCTATGGGCTATAGGGCAGAATCATTGAATGATTATATTTATGACTTATCCTTAAATTGGAAGAGAAATAAGCTCAAGTATTTTTTTGGCAAAATTGTGCCTTAATGCCACTATCTATTGGATTTGGAGGGAGAGAAACAATAAGGTGTTTGGAGGGGAGTGTAAAGATGCACTAACCATCCACAATATCATTAGATTAGTGGTGAGGATAGGGCCATGGAACTTAGGGAAATGAAGAGGACCACAGGAAATAGAAGGCTTGTGCAAATTTGGAGGTTATCGATGTCTATTTATGACGGGTTATCACTCTGGGTTTTGTGGTCTTGGTGGTGGTGAGGTCTTAGAACAAACTTGTTATCGAGGCTTTTTGTCGAGCACACGAAAGGCTATGAGAGTAGGGGTGTTTAGCTCTAAAGAGTTGTGCTGGCCAAGGCAGGCCCTACGGGAGGTTTCCATCCTTTGGGGAGGGTGGAAGTTGGTAGAAAGTGGGTGCTCTCTTCCTTTGGTTTTGTTCCTAACCCAAGGCGCCTGTTCTGGGGTAGGAAGAGTTTATATATATATATATTCATAATTTTGTATAGACTATTTTTTTTTTTTTTTTGTCTTAACCTAAGGGATTGTCTTGAGGTAGGTTGACTGGCTCTCATAAGTCTTTTATACATTCTTTTTCTTTTTTATAGTGAAAGCTTACTTATGAAAATTAACTAACACCTCATAGGCTCATAATAATTAATTAAACAACTGGCTTGTAATTTTTCAAATCAATTTCCATAACCATATCCCAAGGCGTAAAGCATCTTCATAATAAAACAAAACCATTTGTGCCAGCAAATTGCATTTAAACTTCTACGTGTGACCTTCATTCACAACCACCAAATTCTTACCCTGACCATTTAATCTTACACGTATAAGCCATGCAAAGCCCAAAATTTCTTATAAATTTCCCTCCTCACAACTCCAATTCTCACCATTAATTCAAACACAAATTAATATAATACTACTCTCCAATCCCTATCAGCAATGGCAAAGCTCGTGATTCTCCTATCTGCCTTCGCAGTCCTCCTCCTGGTGGCCAACGCCTCCATCTACCGCACCACTGTGGAGTTTGAAGAAGAATCAAGCCGTGGGCAGAGTTGCCAAGAGCAGTTCGAACGGCAGCAGCGATTCAGGAACTGTCAAAGGTACGTGCAACAGGAGATCCAGGGGGGACGCCGGCTCAGTTCTGACGTTAACCAGAGACAACAATGCTTCAAACAATGCTGCCAGGAGTTGCAGGAAGTAGACAGAAGGTGCCGCTGCCAGAACCTAGAGCAAATGGTGAGACACCAGCAGCAACAGAGACAGCTCAGGGGTGAGGAGGTTGAGGAATTTTATGAAACAGCCAGTGAATTGCCTCGCTTGTGCAACATTTCACCCAGCCAGGGATGTCAGCTCAGTTCACCCTACTAGATTCACGTCCATGAAGATGTGCATCAAGTGTAGTAGTAGAAGAAATAAAGTTCCTTGCATGCTCTGGCATTTTAGCTGGAGATTAAGGGTGAATAAGCAGTAGTACTAGAATCAGCACATTATCGTGTGTGTTAATGCGTAGAGGCAATGTAATCGATCGAGTTTTTTTAATTAATAAGAGTGCTGATTTATCTTTAATTATATCAAGACTCGACACCCTTCTCTTGCTCCATCTTCTAATGCCAATTCAAATTAAAATAAGATACTCAAATATCACATTCATTGAACTCCGCTCTTCATATCAAGAGCTTTATTTTGCTGTTATTAAATCTACGAGATACAAAAATAAACTTATTAATCTCCTTATTAGTTTGTTGTTATCCGCTTGTGTTTCTTATTAGTTTTTCCATACTTATGTAATATGGTTTAAGCTTTATATTTATGATCCATTCAGAGGCATCATTAATTAATCTCCTTAATGACAAAGATATTAAAAGGAAAACAGCAGTCACAAAAGGTTGCTGTTTGATTGGTGTGGTCGCCGCATATTATATGCTGTCAGGGAATATATGGATATTAAAAACAGCTATGTGAATGCTGACACCATAGTAATAATATGCATAGAGAATCGACATTTAGAGAGGATCATTAAATCTTGTGAATATAATATCAGAATTGGACTTCAGGGACAAAATTAATAATTAATTGAACACAGAGACACATAAGGTTTTGTAAGGTTTCGCATGTATGCTTAGGTACGTGGAAGATGAGATGATTAGGCTTCGATGCGGTGGCTCTGCATGGTTCGGTTGTTGAATTTATACTTACAGGTGGATCACTGCCATGCAAAATTGGCCACAAACTAAAAATTAGGTTTTTGTTTGGTTGTCAAATTGATTTTTGGCTCATCTTCGAAGTGCAGTTAATTAGGTTAGTTAGTTGCCTTGTCGAATTGCTGCCTGGACGCCACCGAGTGATAGGTGGTGCTTGCCGGTGATGCACATATTGGAATAAACTGATTTTGTTTGCTCTCTCAGCTATCCTTTTGAAATTATTTACAAATGAATCTATCTTGTGGTCAATCGACATTAACTCATAGCATCGGACTTCAATGAAATCTAGTTTTAAGCAGGTAAAGTGTATCATTACAGTGTTTGTACTGTTAATTTGTTATAGAATATATCAAGAACACTCTTGAAATAAAAACTATGGAATACTAATATGTATTACAATTAACTTTGCCAAATAACACATCCTTATATAATTAAACAACAAAGCTAGTAAGTTTTTAAATCAAATTCCATAGCCAAATCTCAAGGCTTAAAGCATCTTCATAATACAAACAGATACAAAAGCCCTTGTGCCAACAAATTGCATGTAAAATTCTACGTGTGATCTCCATTCGCTACTCACAGTCACCAAATTCTTACACGTATAAGCCATGCAAACCCCAAAATCCCCTATAAATCTCCCTCTTTGGCTCTTTGCTACTCCATTTCTCACCATTCAAAAACAAATTAGTATAAACCAACTCTCCAATCCCTAACAGCAATGGCAAAGCTTGTGCTCATCCTATCTGCCTTCGCAGTCCTCCTCTTGGTGGCCAACGCTTCCATCTACCGCACCACTGTGGAGGTTGAAGAAGAAAACTCTAGCCGTGGGCAGAGTTGCCAAAAGCAGTTCGAGCAGCAGCAACGATTTAGGCACTGCCAAATGTACGTGCAAAAGGAGATCAAGGGGAGCCAAGGAGGACGCTGGCTCAGCAATGACGTTAACCAGAGAGAACAATGCTTCAAACAATGCTGCCAGGAGTTGCAGGAAGTAGACAGACGGTGCCGCTGCCAGGGACTAGAGCAGATGGTTAAGCACCAGCAGCAACAGGGACAGTTCAGGGGTGAGAAGATTCGGGAACTGTATGAGACAGCTTGTGAGCTACCTCGCATGTGCAACATTCAGCCCATGCAGGGCTGTCAGTTCAGTTCACCATACGAGTCGTTTTAGGTTGAAGGCGATGAGTGGTAGATGAAGAAGTGCATGAAGTTAGTTGAAGAACTAAAGTTTACCGCCCTGGAGAACATTAAAGGGTGAATAAACTAGTAGTAGTCAGCACATTATCGTGTGTGTTAATGAGTTGAGGCACTGTAATGGAGTTTGTTTAATAAAAGTGCTCGGTTTATCTTTACATCGACACTCAACAGCCTTTGATTCTTGTTGATTATNAGCCCATGCAGGGCTGTCAGTTCAGTTCACCATACGAGTCGTTTTAGGTTGAAGGCGATGAGTGGTAGATGAAGAAGTGCATGAAGTTAGTTGAAGAACTAAAGTTTACCGCCCTGGAGAACATTAAAGGGTGAATAAACTAGTAGTAGTCAGCACATTATCGTGTGTGTTAATGAGTTGAGGCACTGTAATAGAGTTTGTTTAATAAAAGTGCTTGGTTTATCTTTACACATCAACACTCAACAGCCTTTGATTCTTGTTGATTATTGTTAGAGCCATAAATCGTCCTCGGCCCAAATAGGAAAGCAGGACCATTTGTGAAGAGAAGACCAGGCCTAAATCCCAAAGAGGCCCAAGTCAGATTAGTCCCATTCGATACGAGGTATGGCCTGCCCAAACCATCTGGGCACGGGCCTCCCAGTTCCAGTTCACTTCCTAGGCCTATAGGCGAGTTCCGAGCCCACGGCCCACTGATCACATTCCTGTTCCTGATCAATATCCAACTCGAAGTCATTTTCCTGTTCAGAACACTTTCCTACTCGAAGTTACCTTCCTGATCAGAGTCACCTTCCTATCCGGACACTGGTAAGACAGTTTATCATGGCCCTAATTCTTCTAGGGTTTGCATCAGAGTCACATTAGGACTCCTACTCCCACCATGATTGGGAGACCAGACAGTCACTATATAAACAGAGGCCAGCCCTCTCACAAAGGACACACTACATTACACCTTCACACCCGAAGCTCCTACTTGAGAGCTTTACATCACCGCCGTAATCACAGTTTCCGACTAGACTTCCGGTAACCTCTCTATTCCCTAGCCCTCACTATACAAGCTTCTTTCAGCCTTGCTGACTTGAGCGTCGGAGTGCTTATGGCAAACACCACTCCAGTGTTTCTCGTTCGCTTCACACGTTTGTTTTTCTACGTGTGCAGGTGCAGCGGATCGCTAGTGGCCTCAACCTCACGGGATCAAACCCTCCTTCCTTACAGGTAGATTTTTACGTCTATAGTTTGGTGCCCACCGTGGGGCCTCTAGCAATCATTTGGCTCGACGAACCCTGCTGCGTAGAGGAACTTTCCATGGCTGACAACTCCGATAACGCTAATCCCGGCCTCGAGGCTAAACTAGAAGCTCTAACCGCTCTCATGCAACATAACTTAGACAAGGTGGCTGCATTGGAAGCTGAGAACAATGCGATCCGGATGGAAAATGCGTCCATTAGGTCAGAAAACCAATCCCTCAAGGAGAAGGTGAGTCGATTCTATGACCTAGAGTTCCTGCCCGGCCAAGCACCCTTCAATCGATTCCGCACCCCTGTTCCGTCCATGCAATCTCTCCTTACGTCGAAGCCCCGACCTTCAGCCTCTGGCAAAAGGCCGCGTCCCTTAAATCCGTCTACGGTCGACAATTCTGTCCTAATTCATGGAGATAAAGATATGCCTGTAGAACATCAATCAACCGATTCATCCCAGCATCAAGATCAAGACGATCCGGTGGCAGAAAGCCCTCATCCATGAGACCAGCTCAATCTAACCATCCCAACACATACTCCACTCGGCTCGGCTCATCCTCGCAGGATGAACTGCCAAACTAAACCAACAGCACTCGAGCCCATCTATCCTGACCAACCGAATGACTATCAGAGGACTCCCTTGACTATCCATATAGGACGAAACACCAGAACAGTTACCATGGGAGTCATCCAATCGGAAGGAATGACCGAAGATCTATGCTATCAGGGAACGCACGAAGGGACTCGTCAGACTACCCCAAGAGGGGTAACCCAACGGAATGTACCAAAGTTAAATGTAAAGGCCGACCTAGTCATGCGGGATGACCTAGTGGCGTCCCCTTCTCCTATGGAACAGGTACTAGGCAAGAGATTGGCCGATGTGGAAGCAGTGATGCGACACATTCCAGGAATGCCGGTCCCAACCAAGAAGAGCAGGCCCCATTGTTACGCGGAATCACCCTTCATGGACGAGATCGTCGTAGCCGACATGCCTCAAAAGTTTACTATCCCCAACATGAAAATGTACGACGGCACAACCGATCCGGACGATCACATAGCCTCGTACAAGCAGCGGATGCTCACCCTCTCAATACCCCGACCGCTTAGGGAAGCCTACATGTGCAAAAGTTTCGGTTCGAGCTTATCCGGCCTAGCACTACAATGGTACACCAACCTCCCGAACGGATCCATCAATTCGTTTGCTCAACTCACCGACACGTTTGTGGAACAGTTCGCCAGTAGCAAGAAAGTCGAGAAGCTGTCAGCCGACTTGTACAGAGTATACCAGAGAAGGGACGAGCCATTGAGAGAGTATGTCAGCAGGTTTAACAAAGAGAAGATTTCCATCCTTGCATGCAACCCTAAGACAGCCATAGATGCCTTCAAAAAGGGTCTCCTCCCGGACGGAGAGCTATACAAAGAACTTACAAAGTTGGGATGCACAATAATGGAAGACGCCCTAGCCCAGGCAGTGATCCAAATAAGATGGGAGGAGGATGAGATAAACCAGACGATTCACTCCAGATACAATTCAAGGTGGAATGATAGGAAACCAGAGCACAGGCCAGCGGAGCACCGCTACCAACCCCCAGCACGTAATTCGAGCAGAGTTAGAAAACCGTATGATCATCAACTAATAAGAACCGAGAGTAGACAGTTCGGATCGAACCGGTGCAAAATATCGGAGTACAACCTTAATGTCGAGCCAACTCAGGTGGTCATGATTATGAAAGGAATGGCATCCACCGTTAAGTGGCCATGCAAGCTCAATCCCGAGGCAAGGAGAGACAAGACCAAATGGTGTGAGTTCCACGACGATCATGGGCACAACACCGTAGACTGTATCGCTTTACGACTAGAGGTCGCTGCACTTCTGAAGAGGGGACACCTTCGGGATCTGCTAACTAATAAGGGGAAGAACACCATCAGCCATAAGAGTTCAAAAGAACCATCACCACCTCCGCGAGAACCTACACCGAAAGGTTTCTGTTCTCTCATCTCTGGAGGATCAGAGATCAGTGGGGTAAGTTACTCATCAGCCAAGCGATATGCCAGAGCCAACCACCACCATGAAGTCCAGTCCATCCATCTGGCCTCACGGTCGCACACTCATCAGGTAATTCAATTTGAAGATGACGAGTCGGTCACCCTAGCCGCTCCTCATCACGATGCCCTAGTCATCTCCCTGGAGGTCACCAACATCCTAGTGAAAAGAGTATTCGTAGATGGAGGCTCCTTAGCAAACATCTTATTCCTTGAAACAGTGAAGGCAACAGGCGATCGACGTTGCTAGTTGGTTTCAGCTCTGAGCAGAAGTACACTATCGGGGAGATCATCCTCCCTATCTACGTCGGAGGAGTGAACAAACAGACCATCTTTCTGGTAATCGACTGCCCCTCGCCATATAACATCATCTTGGGCCAACCTTGGATCCACGACATGTGAGCAATCCCATCTACCTTCCACCAGACGATCAGGTTTCCAACCAAATGGGGGGTACGAGAGATCAAGGGTGACCTCAAAACTTTCAGAGATTGCTACAAGAATTCCTTCAAAGGCAAGGGTAATTCTTCGTAGCAATTACAAATTCATCCAACCCCATCGACCGAGCCAGATCAACCATCTATAAAAGAGTTGGATGAAGTGCAGATACATTCGGATGATCCCGACAGAAAGACACATATAGGGTCCCGCCTTAAGCCCGAGACCGGAGAAAAGCTGATAGAGTTCCTCAAACAGAACCAAGATTGTTTCGCCTGGTCGCACGCCGACATGATCGAAATCAGTTCGGAAGCAATGGTCCACCAGCTCAAGGTAGACCTAGATCACCCACCAGTGAAACAGAAGAGAAGGAAATTCTCACTAGAGCATAACCGAATTGTCAACAAAGAGGTCGAGAAGCTATTGAGCAATGGTATGATCAAAGAAGTCCACTACCCTGAATGGCTAGCGAATGTCATGGTTGTAAAGAAAAAGAACGGGAAATGAAGAGTGTGCATCGACTTTATGGACTTGAACAAAGCCTATCCCAAAGATTCCTTCCCGCTTCCTCACATCGATATGATGGTCGATGCAACAGTAGGTCATGAGCTCCTTAGTTTCATGGATGCTTTCTTAGGGTACAACCAGATCTTGATACACCCGGACGACCAAGAGAAGACAGCCTTCATCATGGAGAGGGGAACCTATTGCTATAAGGTGATGCCATTCGGTCTGAAGAACGCCGGAGTCACCTACCAGCGGCTAGTCAACAAAATGTTCGTCGAATACCTAAGGGACACCATGGAGGTATACATCGATGACATGCTGGTCAAGTCACTGATAGCTGAACAGCACCTCGACCACCTCAGCCAGGCCTTTGCTGTCCTCAAGAAGTACAACATGAAGCTAAATCCAGCCAGTGCTCATTCGGGGTCTCGTCAGGAAAGTCCTTGGGCTACATGGTGACTCAGAGAGGGATGCAAGCCAACCCCGACTAAATCAGAGCAATCCTTGATATATCGTCTCCAACTTACGTGAAAGACATCCAACGCCTCGCAGGACGCGTGGCCACCTTGAGCTACTTCATCTCTAGGTCGGCAAACAAGTGCCATCTCTTCTTCCATGCCCTCAAGAAGTCCAAGAAGTTTGAGTCGACCGCCCTCTACGAAGAAGCCTTGCAACAGCTAAAAAGGTACCTTATCTCCCCTCCGCTCCTATCTAAACCTGTGGACGGGGAGAAGCAGTTGCCGGTTTACTATGTGAGTAAGTCGCTCTTTGACGCGAAAACGCGATACAGTCAGCTGGAAAAATTAGCCCTCGCCCTCGTCCATGCATCCAGGAAGCTCAGGCCGTACATTCAGTGCCATTCAATAGTTGTACTCACCTCCTTCACACTCAAGAAGATACTGCACAAACCAGAACTATCAAGTCGACTCCTGCAATGGACAGTAGAGCTCAGTGAGTTTGACATATCATATCAGCCTCGCACCGTTGTCAAATCCCAAGCCTTGGCCGATTTCATTGCTGACTTCACCCCGAATACCACCACCCAAGCAGAAAGTGAGTTATTATACATGAACAGCGGATCACCCTCCAAGTGGACCCTCTTAGTGGACGGCTCAAGTAACGTAAATGGAAGCGGACTTGGAGTAGTACTGATTGCGCCTGAAGGAGACATCATCCAACGGGCAATACAGTGTGGGTTCAAGCGCATGAACAACGAAGTCGAATATGAGGCCCTCATAGCTGGACTTTCCTTAGCCAAAGAAATTAGAGTAAAGAAACTAGAGGTAAAGTCTGATTCCCAGCTCGTGGTCAATCAACTGCAAGGCACATATCAAGCACGCGACTCGAAGATGACATCCTACTTGAGCATGGTCAAGGAGATGCAGGCCCAATTCGATGAGTTCTCTATCGTCCAAATCCCGAGAGCGGAGAACTCCCACGCTGATGCTCTTGCCAGTCTCGGCTCAGCCCTCAAATGCTCTTCCCAGTCATCCATCCCTCTATTATTCATACAGTGGCCTGCCAACTAGGAGGGACAACAACCAAACAAGCCGCCTGAGGAAGCCATGGGAGTTGAACTAGCCGACTGCTAGATGACTCCGATAGTGAGATACTTGGAGCATGACGAACTCCCGGCTGACAAGAATGAGGCACGACGACTAAAAACAAGAGCGGCCAGATTCACCACACATCAAGGCCAACTCCTTAGAAAATCATGCTCGAGCCTCTACCTCAAGTGCACAAGCCCAGAAGAGGCCCATCGTGTCCTTGCCGAGTTACATGAAGGCAAATGTGGAAACCATGCTGGGGGACGCAGCCTTGCACACCGAGTAATCACTGCTGGATATTACTGGCCGACCATGCGCACCGATTCAGCCGCCTATGTGAAGAAGTATGACAGTTGTCAGAGGTTTGCTCATGTCTCACACCTCCCACCAGAGCGACTCAATTCCATCCTCACCCCCTAGCCCTTTATGAAGTAGGGAATGGACATCATGGGAAAACTACCGACTGTACCCGGACAGCAAGTCTTCATGTTAGCTGTGACAGACTACTTTACCAAATGGATTGAAGCCGAAGCCTTCGCATAAGTTAGAGACCGAGAGGTAAAAGCCTTCATCTGGAAGAACGTCATCTGTAGGTTCGGTATACCAAAGGAAATCGTCACCGATAATGGATCCCAGTTCATTAGTTCAGGCTTCAAAGATTTCTGTGACATGTGGGGAATAAAATTGAGCTTCTTGACCCCCCACAATCCCAAGTCTAATGGTTAGGCTGAGTCGTCAAACAAGACCATCATTTAGACACTAAAGAAGCGGTTACAAAAAGCCAAGGGTGCATGGGCAGATGAGCTACCTGGAGTCCTCTGGTCATACCGAACAATGACTTGCTCGTCAACGGGCGAGACCCCCTTCTCCCTCACATACAGTTCTGAAGCAGTTATCCCAGCCGAAGTATCAGTCCCGTCCACCAAGCTCTAATAGGCGGACGAGGAATCAAACGACCAGAAACTTTGCCAAAACCTGGACACCATCGACAAGCTACACAAACGGGTGAGCATCCGTAATGTAGTCTATCAGCAACAGGCTGCCCGACATTACAACCGCAACGTGAGGATTCGGACTTTCAAGATAGGCGACTGGGTCCTCCACAAGGTCTTCCAAAACACCAAGGAGATCAACTCTGGCAAACTCGGCCCCACCTAGGAAGGCCCCTACAAGATAACCAGAGAAGTAGGGAAGGGTGCTTACAAACTCCAGACCCCCGAGGGCAAAGATATCAGTAACAGTTGGAATGTCGTTCACCGCAAACGCTACTACCTCTAGGTGAACTTATCTTTTTTCTGTTTTCCTTTTTGTTATTTTAAAAGGGATGAGTGAGCCTATCCACCTCCTCTTAGACAATTGGCCTCATGGCCAAATATTAATGAAGTATTATTCAGAAAATCTTTCATCTCTAAATCGACTACGGTCGATCAATTATTGTTAAACACCATCAGATCGGCCATGCCTAACCCACGAAAATGCAGCTTCAAATCGACTGAAGTCGATCAATTATTTTTAACACCTTTAGATCGGCCATGCCCGGTCCACGAAATTGCATCTCCAAATCGACTCTCGTCGATCGATTGTTGTTTACACCTTCAAATCGGCCTTGTCCGATCCACGATTTCGCACCTTCGAATCAACCAAGCTCGGATCATGAAAACACCTTCGAATTGACCCCGCTCGGTTCACGAATACACCTTCGAATCGACCCAGCTCGGTTCAACACCTTAGAATCGACCCCATTCGGTTCACAAAAATACCTTTGGATCGACCCTGCTCGATCCACGGAATCGCACCTTTGGATCGACCCTGCTTGATTCATGGAATTACACCTTCGGATTGACTCTGCTCAATCCACTGAATCACTCCCTCGGATCGACCCTGCTCGATCTACGTTATCACACCATCAAATCGGCCCTGCCCGATCCATGAAGAGACACCATCAAATCAGCTCAGCCCGACCTACAACTCGCACCTTCGAGTCAGACCCGATCAACCCAAGAACTCGCACCTCCGGGTTGACTTCACCCAATCCAAGAGACTTCATACTCGGTCGGCCAGACCGAATGAACGGTTCTTACACCAGCAATACGCAAAAAACCAAACTAGCCCAATATAAGGCTCACATGCCTTAGCCACTGGTTTACACTGAAGTAACAAACACAACCTAGTGCATCTACAAAAAAAGAAATAATGAACTCATTCATCCATAAAGGAAGCATCAGAAGTTAGAGCAACCGAGTACAATAACATATGGCCTCAAAGGGCTCAGTTCAAAATACAAACGAACGACATACGCCAAGAAAAAGGGCATCGCAGGCCCCAAAATATAGGAAAATACTAAGCTAACTATCCCCAGCACGAGCCGCCTCCTCTATCTCCAACTAAGTCACAATGTCTGCACCACTAGCATCCATCCTAGTAGCCCGGTCGCTCGCATCCCCAACATCCGACGGCCCTGGCTAACTAGCAAGGTCAGGCATCTGCTCCTCGTCCTGCATACCCAGATGACCGGCTCCCTCTTCCGGTAACTCCCACATGAGCTGGATGTCTTCGTTCGGATCCTGGTGAGAAGTCTTCCCTTCCTTGAACTCAAGCATGAGTTCACTGTGGGCCTTGATGATAGCATCATCGGCAATAGAAATACACTGCTCCCTTAGAGACTCAACCTCTGCAGTCTTGTCGGCCAACTCACGCCTCAACTGTTCCAACTCACACTTGCTATCCCGCAAATGCTGTAGAAACTCTTGCTCGGCCT